TAAGTTTCATTTTCATTTTCTCATTCAAATTTTCTCCAACATTAATTGCGGTGTCAACCTTTTCTTCTTTAATAGACTCTTTACTAGGTGATGTTGTAATAGCAACACTAACTCCCTGTTTAGCTTTCTCTTCTGCTTCTTGTTTAGCTTTCTCTTCTGCTTCTTTCTTTGCTTTTTCTTCTGCTTCTTTCTTTGCTTTCTCTTCTGCTTCTTTCTTTGCTTTTTCTTCTGCTTCTTTCTTTGCTTTCTCTTCTGCTTCTTTCTTTGCTTTCTCTTCTGCTTCTTTCTTTGCTTTCTCTTCTGCTTCTTTCTTTGCTTTCTCTTCTGCTTCTTGTTTGGCTTTTTCTTCTGCTTCTTTCTTTGCTTTTTCTTCTGCTTCTTGTTTAGCTTTCTCTTCTGCTTCTTTCTTTGCTTTCTCTTCTGCTTCTTTCTTTGCTTTCTCTTCTGCTTCTTTCTTTGCTTTTTCTTCTGCTTCTTTCTTTGCTTTCTCTTCTGCTTCTTTCTTTGCTTTCTCTTCTGCTTCTTGTTTGGCTTTTTCTTCTGCTTCTTTCTTTGCTTTTTCTTCTGCTTCTTTCTTTGCTTTCTCTTCTGCTTCTTTCTTTGCTTTCTCTTCTGCTTCTTTCTTTGCTTTCTCTTCTGCTTCTTTCTTTGCTTTCTCTTCTGCTTCTTTCTTTGCTTTCTCTTCTGCTTCTTGTTTAGCTTTCTCTTCTGCTTCTTTCTTTGCTTTCTCTTCTGCTTCTTGTTTAGCTTTCTCTTCTGCTTCTTTCTTTGCTTTCTCTTCTGCTTCTTTCTTTGCTTTCTCTTCTGCTTCTTTCTTTGCTTTCTCTTCTGCTTCTTTCTTTGGCTTTTTCTTCTGCTTCTTTCTTTGCTTTTTCTTCTGCTTCTTTCTTTGCTTTCTCTTCTGCTTCTTTCTTTGCTTTCTCTTCTGCTTCTTTCTTTGCTTTCTCTTCTGCTTCTTTCTTTGCTTTCTCTTCTGCTTCTTGTTTAGCTTTCTCTTCTGCTTCTTTCTTTGCTTTCTCTTCTGCTTCTTTCTTTGCTTTCTCTTCTGCTTCTTTCTTTGCTTTTTCTTCTGCTTCTTTCTTTGCTTTTTCTTCTGCTTCTTGTTTGGCTTTTTCTTCTGCTTCTTCTCTTGCTCTTTCTTCTGCTTCTTGTTTGGCTTTTTCTTCGGATTCTTTTTTTTCACTAAGCGTTACCTCGTCAGTCTTTGTAGTACTTTCATCACTCTCGCTTGTTTTAGTTTCTTCGTTAATTTCTTTTCTTTCGTCTGTTGTTGTAATTTCAGGTTTTTGTTCATCCTTTTTCTCTTCAATTATTTGTTCTTCACTGTTTTGGATTGTTTCCTGTTTTTTTTCTTCAGTTATTTCTTCATTGAAAATAGGAACTGCATTATTCTCTTCAGTCATTATGGCTTTTATCAATAAACAGTTCTCATTCCAAACCCTTCTAACACTATTTTTAATTTTCTTTCAATGTTCTTTCATTTAATAGTTCTTTTGTGTTAATTTTCATAACACAACAAAAAGAAAGGAATTGAATTAATTATTGTTCTAAACAAGGAATGAACCAAGTTTCTATATGGCCAGTATACGTTTTAGCACACTCAAAGTCAAAACAAATGCCACACCTTTTACATTTTCTTCCTTTTTTCATAGGTTTAGAACAAAGACTACATTTAGAATTATGTTTATTGTCCTTGTACTCTTTAAGGTCATGAATACGAAGGTCAGTTTGTATTTTTAAAAGCTGGTTACTACTTGTAACTACAATTACATAAACTTTTTTGTCGTATATACTAAATGTAATGGTAATAATTGGAATTTCATAAGAAGGACTAATTAAAGGTTTAACTACTTTTTCATTAACACCAAAAGCAGAATTAGCACAAACAGCAACAATAAACTCACCGAAATTACAAATACGATCGATGTTGTTTGGTATTAATTTATTTGATTTCATTTCTAGATTTAGACCATAAATATATATTTTATTAGGATTTTCTTTATCAATGGCATAAATTAAATGATTTACTATAATAATTTGTTTGACAAAATGGTCACTATAACAAATACTCTTTAATTTAAGTGAATAACTAACTAACCTATCTTCTTTATCTTTGAATACAATAATACCATTATCCATAAATATATTACCATCAACTTTACATGGTAATGTATCAATTAATTTTTTATTATCATCTACTATTTCAGTTAATTCTCCAGATTCATTTAATACCAATATTCCATTTTGACTCTGGCCAATATTTGTAATTCCTTCAATTTGATATGTTTTATTAACTCTTGAAAATAAAACAATACTACTACTACTAGCAACACAAAATCCAAATGAAGTTTGTGTTGAATGCTTTACATCAATGTCCAAGGTAAATTCAGGTACAAATGTTTTATGTTTTAATAATGATACTTCTCGACTTCCTTCTTTTGTAGTATAGACAATTACAATCCCATCTTCTATTATTCCTATATCACTTATATTTCTATCATTTAATATTACATCACTAATCATTGAATCTAAATTACTACTTAGTAATTTTGATGAAGACTTCTTCT